GGCGGCGGTCGCAGCTCCACGCGGATCAGGCCGCGTGGGAAGAGAATCGGCTGCTCACGTCGGGCGTCGCGAGCGAGCGCGAGGTCGAGCTCGACTTCGACGACGAGGCCGAGGCGCGCTGCACGCTCCTCGTGCACCAGCTGCGCCCGCCATTCCTCGACGGTCGCGTCGCCTTTACGACGCAGCAAGACATGGTGCCGACGGTCCGAGACGCGACGTCGGATATGGCCACGAACGCGAGGAACGGCTCAGCGCGCCCCGCCGTCCGGGCGCCGCCCACGCGGCGTCGCGCGGCCCGACGCCTCGCCCCCCCGCGCCGCAGGCGCTCCTCCGGTCCATGCGACAGACGCGCGAGCGGAGCAAGATGCGACACCGCTTCTGGGAGCTCGGCGGGAGCCGCATGGGCGATGCGCTCAAGGGCGGCGATCAGGGACGCGGCGTCAGCATGGCGGCGGCCCCCGGGGAGCTTTCACGCGATGCGCGCGAGCGCCGCGCGGCGCGCGCCGACGCGGAGTACGACCACCGTGCGGACGGCTCGTTCCGGGGTGCCCGAGCGGGAGGGGCGGAGCCTGGGCAGCGGCCTGGCGCATCTGAGTTCACGTCCTCGAGGTCGATCTTGGAGCAGCGGCGGAGCCTTCCCGTACGCGGCGTCCGGGATGCGCTGCTCACGGTCGTCCGTGACAACCAGGTCGTGATCATCGTCGGCGAGACGGGGTCTGGGAAGACGACGCAGCTGACGCAGTACCTTCGCGAGGACGGGCTTGGCGCAGGCGGGCGCATTGGCTGCACGCAGCCGCGGCGCGTCGCGGCAATGAGCGTCGCGGCACGCGTAGCGGCGGAGGTTGGCTGCGACGTCGGCGAGGAGGTCGGCTACGCGATTCGTTTCGAGGACGTGACGAGCGAGCGGACGGTGATCAAATACATGACGGACGGCGTCCTCCTCCGCGAGTCGCTCCGCGAGCCCGACCTCGACGGCTACGCTGTCGTCGTCATGGACGAGGCACACGAGCGTAGCCTCCACACGGACGTTCTCTTCGGTATCCTGCGCGACGTGCTCCGGCGGCGCCGGGACCTGAAGCTCGTTGTCACGTCCGCGACGCTCGACGCGGACGCGTTCGCGGCGTTCTTCGGTGGCGCCGCTCCTGTCTTCGCCATCCCAGGCCGGACCTTCCCCGTGGAGAAGTACTTCGCCAAGTCCCCCTGCGAGGACTACGTCGATGGCGCCGTCAAGCAGGCCCTCGCCATCCACCTAAGCTACCCGCCGGGCGACATTCTCGTCTTCATGACGGGCCAGGAGGACGTCGAGTCGACGTGCGGCGCGCTCGCGGAGCGCTGCGCGGCGCTCGGCGACGGTGTGCCGCCCCTTCTCCTCCTCCCTATGTACAGCCAGCTCCCCGCAGACCTCCAGGCCCGCATTTTCGACGCGGCCGCCGGGGGCGTCCGCAAGTGTGTGGTGTCGACAAATGTCGCCGAGACGTCGCTAACCGTCGACGGTGTCAAGTACGTCGTCGACGCGGGTTACTGCAAACTCAAGGTCTACAACCCCCGCGTCGGTATGGACGCCCTCCAGGTCGCGCCCGTGAGCCGCGCGAACGCAGCGCAGCGCGCCGGCCGCGCAGGCCGCACGGGCCCCGGCTTCTGCTACCGCCTCTACACCGAGCGCCAATTCCGTGACGAACTCCTCGCGACCCAGGTCCCAGAGATCCAGCGCACGAACCTCGGCAATGTCGTCCTCCTCCTCAAGTCGCTCGGCGTCGACGACCTCCTCGACTTCGCGTTCATGGACCCACCACCGCAGGAGAACATCTTAAACTCCATGTACCAGCTCTGGGTCCTTGGCGCCCTCGACAATGGTGGCGGGCTCAGCGACCTCGGCGCACGTATGGTCGAGTTTCCCCTCGACCCGCCCCTTGCCAAGATGCTTCTCTTCGCAGCCGGGCTCGCGTGTGGCGCCGAGGTCCTCGCGATTGTCGCATGCCTCAGCGTCCCAAATGTCTTCTTCCGGCCCAAGGACCGCGAGGAGGAGAGCGATGCCGCACGTGAGAAGTTCTTCGTCCCCGAGAGCGACCATCTCACGCTCCTCAACGTCTACGCTGCGTGGCGCGCCGCCGGCTACGACGCGCGCTGGTGCGACCGGCACTTCGTCGTGCACAAGGCCCTTGCCAAGGCGCGCGAGGTCGCCGCCCAGCTTCTCGACCTCATGGAGGCCCAGCACGTGCCCCACGAGTCCTGCGGCCCCGACAGCTGGGACGTCGTCCGCAAGGCCATCTGCTCCGCGTATTTCTTCAATGCTGCGCGCCTCAAGGGTGTCGGGGAGTACGTTAACATGCTGTCCGCCATTCCTTGCAACCTGCACCCCTCCTCGTCGCTCTTCGGCCTCGGCTACACGCCCGATCACGTCATCTACCACGAGCTCGTCATGACCTCGAGGGAGTACATGAAATGCACGACGGCCGTCGACGGTGAGTGGCTCGCCGAGCTCGGGCCCATGTTTTTCTCCATCAAGCAATCATATAAGGACCGCGTCGCCAAGCGAAAGAGGGAGAGGACTGAGACCGACCTCATGGACGCCGAGTTCAAGGACCGGCAAAGACTCGCGGCGCTGGAAGACAAAGTCGCACAGCGGGGCAGAGCCCTGCGGGCTCAAACCCCACTGCCAGGTACGCGTATCTGCGGCTTTCCGGGCAGGGGGGGGGCTAGCCGAGTCTCGGCCTCTCTAACTCGAAGTCCGACCTCGGGTGGAGATCGAGCTCGAGCTGAAAAGGTTACCGGCCTAGCGTCCTGGAAACCCCCAAAATCTCCAGAAACACGTCCGGATAATTTAAAACACCGGTGAAACTCGCCAGAAAACTACCTCACGACCTGGCAATGACAACTTCAAGGTTGAATGCCAAAATTGCTGAAAGTGCGACCAAACCGCCTGGGCCATCGAAATCCACCCGGTTGGCCAGGCCGCTACGGTAAATGTCCAACGCGGCCAATCCGGCCAATTTCGCCAATTTCCCCCCTCAAGCCAGAATTGAGCCCCAGACAACTTGAAGACCAATTACCGGCCGCTAGCCGGCTACTTCTCGCTCGATCTTCACTCTGGTCCGACTTCTACCAAGTCCGCCTCCGACCACAGGGGGGATTAATCGATGGCGATTATTTAAGGCTCCATAACTGACATGAGTGGAACACGCCCGCCTCCTGCGGAGAGAGTCCCCACGCCGGGGGTGGCATGAGCGTAGGGGGCAGGCAGGGGGGCATATGATCTACACTTGCCAGGTTCAATACTTGTATGTCGCTCGCTGACGGAAGGCACCACCCTTTTGTTGATTTCTAATTTTTTACCAGCAATATCCATTGGGTTTTGTCTTGTTTGGCTTTTTTGTTTTTTCCCTCACTTCTTTCAAGTCTAAGTCATCACGTCAAGCCCCAAGGAAATTGCCCGGCAGTGCCACACTTTGGGGGGTCTTGGGCTGGATTTGGCCATCGCTCTGTGCGGTGCCGTGCCTGGTCAATGTATGGAGGACTTCCGAACCCGAACTAGGCTATCCTCTCTGAAACGTGCTGAGTAGCGTGGCCTGGTCTATGGGAATCGAAGTCTGCAGGCTGCACATACAAGTCTGGCACTGGGATTCGACGGCTAAATTGAAACTCGGTAAAAATACAACAGCTGGAATCGACAATTGTCTATTTCGAGCAAGGCAATGATGGGCTACGCGATGGTTCTAGCCCTTGTCGCCGCCGGAGATGGCCAAGCCCGTCCCCTGCGGAGTCGCCGCCGCAGCAGCCCCGCCCCAGGGACGACGGGGCACATCCGGCCAGGCGCCGGGGCCGAGAATGCCAGCCCCGAACTAAGCGGAGTTTGCAGGGGGGTCGATCGCGACCCTAGCCCACCCGTCCTGGTCGCTCATCGCTGGATTTGAACCATTGTGACCCGGGCAATATTGATGGACTGAACAATACAAGTCCCTCGACGTTTCCTTCAAGAAAGCCTTTCATATATTTCAGCACGAAGAAGTCCGTCGAGGCCAGCGCCGGCGGAGCCACCGCCACATGGCTACCAATCGTGTTTGACTCTGACTGAGTTCGCTATCTTTCCCGCGTCCAGCTCTCTTGGAATGGCAGAGTTGATGGCTTCTAGAAGGGTCGGAGCTACAACACAGGCAGTCGAGTAAGACCAAGCAAGAACAAGAAGATCTTGATGTTTGAATCGGTCGATCTTTGCGATGGCAGTAGATGCAACTACGTTGAAGAGATATTTCTGCGAGACACCGGCAGTGGAGAAGGCTTTGGTGAGCTTAACAAGCAGCTCGGGTGTGAACGCATCAATGTTATTCGCGGCAGCATTCGCGAGAGCATCGTAAAAGTCCGGGTTGGTTACACCATGGGCGGCATATGCCACGACAGAAGCAACGAGGATGGACGGGGAATCGAAGGTTGGGCCAAGTCGCACAAACGCGTTGGCAGTCACCTGCCATATGATAGGCAGATGAAAGCGCTCGAGATCTTCAAGTGAGAAGACATGAATATAGTCGTCAATATGCTTGACAATCTGATGCATGAGTGCAGAAGCGCCAATTTCTGCATGGGCACAGCGCCTGGCGACATTTGCTATTTCATTCGTAGAGAAAAACTCGTACCGGCGTGACATCACATGCGCGACAGCGCTGAGGAGCTCAGGCGCTGGAAAATTCATTTCAAAGAAAGCTTCGGCTGTTCGCATTAGAACCTCGGGCACGGGTTGTGAAGAAATGCGCTGCGAAGCTGCTGTGCCGATGGCCTGGAATAGTGCTGGCGCCTCGTAGTCGGCAGCCGCGAAAGCATGCACCGTCGCCTAAATAACTGAAGTATCACCCTCACACGGGCTAAGACGCAGTGGAATGCAGCAAGCTCCTGTGCGTTGAATTCGTGGATGCGATCTGTTGCCTCGACTGCGATCAACTCAAAGACACCAAGGGCCTCACGTCGCGCAAGAGCAAAGGCGGCAGCAATCGTAGCCATGTTTTGCGGTGAGCAGGCATGGATCTTAGAAGGAACTTGTCGTGCGATGACATCAAAAACGATCGTATGCTCTAGTCCATGTCGTTCATGTGCACATGCGAATGCCCATGCGGTATTCGCAAGGTCGATTGGTGCGAAAGCATCCACTCTCGCGACCGCTGCGGTCGCGATACTATCAAATAGCGCTGGAGCATGCGCGTCAGCTCGTGCAAAGGCCCAGGCCGTGGAAGAAAGATGCTGTGGGGTAAACTCATCAATTTGGGCGGGTGCTGCAGCTTCAATTGCCTCGAAGAGAGATGGCGCGTCGACGTCAGCCTTGGCAAACGCCCAGGATAGATTGGCTAAATCCTGCGGCCCGAATTCAAAGACACGATATGGAGTTTCCTGCGCTATGGCAGCAAAGAGCGTCGTTGCTACGACACCAAGTCTCGCAAGGCCCCAGGCGACATTCGCAAGGCTGCGGGGCGTTAGCTCACCACGAGCGATGCTTAAAACACAAAGCCCCATGATCTTCCGTAGCCCAGCTTCTGGCTCGCGCCGGTTTTCAAAAAATGGGGTGAATCGAGATCCAAGCCGATGGATTGCCGTTGATATGTTGACATCATTGAATTCATCTCCACGAGATTCCATAAGCGCAAGTAGCGAATCGGCTGAGCGGAGCGCTGTTATTTGCTTGTTTAATCGAACAAACTCTAAATTTCGGTCATGAGCGAAAAGATTTAAATGATTCGTAGTGCAAACTCGTTGCCGGTGCTTGTGAACAGTCTGCCAGCTGCTTTGCTCGCCGCTCGTACCACGCATAATCCCAAGTTTGTCGCATCGCCACGTTCGTCTCTTGAAGGATCCAGACGAAGGCGAAGATGACCGTCGGTGCCAGCGCTGCGCCGTCCGTCCCATATTAGCATGAATGCTGCTCGACAACAGCTACCTAAGGAATCATAGAATGGCTGTGGCCCAATCCTCATGGCGTGTTAAGCCGGGGTGCATCTCCATCAGTAAATTTTTGCTAGACAAGTAACTTAAGCCAAAAGTTAAATGTGGCGTAATGATCATTAGTCCGGTTTGATAGCCTAAAACATGAGAGTTAAATGTACTAAACCATCAAATCTGGCGGCTAGCGTAAAAACTCTCTGTCTCCCAGTGTGCAAATCAGCCCGATTTAAGGAGTCAGTCGGCAGGAGCATTTAGGCGGCGGCTGACAGCGTTGGTGCCGTGCTCGGCGCCCCGCTCGGTCTGTGGACCATGTCGCCTCTCGGGCCCCGCAGCGAATCGCTCCGGAAAGGCCATAGGTCGAAGGCGACCAACTTTGTTCGCGTCGGGGCAGCCCGTGGATGACGAGAACGGCCGTAAACGGCGAGCGACGACCGATGGGGGGCCAACTTCGCGCTGGGGTTCGAGCTGGCGGCGCGAGTGCGAGGCCACACCCCTTCGATTGACCTTCTCGAGCGGCTCGCGAAGGACCGCGCTGCCAGCCTGAAACATACATTGCGCGGTGAGCACCGTGTCGCCCGCGGCGCCGCGCGCCTCCCGGAGGCGGTGAGGTGATCTCGATCAAATCGGCTCGAGTCGAAGAGCTGCCGCGAGGGCATCTGGTCGCCCCCATGACGAACGATCCCCGACGCTCTGTGGCTCGAAGGCGACCGAAATTCGGTCGGGGGGCAGCTGCCGCGCACCCTTCCACCCCCCGACGCTGCCCGTTTGCGTCGCCTCGCAATCGTCTGGATGCCGCGTCTTCGCAGGTGCCTCGTGCACATGTTTGCGGACCTCAAAGCCACTGGGATCGTTGCACGTCGCTGCATATTCGCGGAGCGCGGGGTGCTCTAAGATGGACATTCCATCGGCTTCCGCCAAAACTGGCACGAGCGTTGCCCTGCTGACAGGCCGCAGGGCGACATTGAAGCGGCGTAAATGGATGAAGATTTAACTCTGCGGGTTTTGCCGGCGGCTGGCTCGCTATCCGGTTTGGATGGTCGAGCTCGCGTAAAAATATTTAACTTTTGGCTTTAGTTTGCCCGTGCTCCTCCGGCCTTCGGCCTCCGGGAAGGTAAAGGTCAGTCTGCGCCGGCCGGAGGGGGCGCGGCGCCGTGTTTACGCGGCCTGGCCGAAGGCTAGCCGGCTCCTCAGATGCGCGACTCGGGCCGATGGCTATGGGGGCTGGCCGCGGCGGCGGCCGCGGTCCCTTCGGGACCGATGGTTGTGGGAGCCCGTTCCTTCGGGACCGATGGTTGTGGGAGTCCGTCCCTTCGGGACCGATGGTTGTGGGAGCCCGTCCCTTCGGGACCGATGGTTGTGGGAGCCCGTCCCTTCGGGACCGATGGTTGTGGGAACCCGTCCCTTCGGGACCGATGGTTGTGGGAGCCCGTCCCTTCGGGACCGGTGGTTGTGTAATCTTATTGCTTCCCTGCGCGACCCGTAGTACGGCTCTCACAAAGTCGGTGATCGTATTCCCGAGTAGGCGCGGGCGCGCAGCGTCGGGCCCGAACGCGTCGCCGGCCGTCCCGCGATGGCCTTCGGCGTCGCGCCGCCGGGCCGCCGCAGATACTCTCTGACCCATAGAAATCGTCACGTCCCCCCCCCCGCCCCGCGCGG